TACATCCTACCTACTATAACTTTTCTGGGGCATGAGACCGTATTTCCTTCCTGTCGGCCAATAAGCTTGTGGCGGTTCCAAAAAGAGGAATGGTTTCAAGGATTTCCTCTCATTTATGCCAATGACGAAGTGAGCGGCGGATCACCCCTTGTCTCATATGCACAACATCCAGATAGTGTATTGTACTGTATGTTCTAAGAATCCATGTTGTAGAAAAGTAAATCACCAAAGAATGTCTTACTAGTATAAACTAATACACCATATAATCACACACCATATAGCTTCCCTTTCACGGGACATCAACTCAATCTACCTAGCATAAATTGCTCTCAAGCAATTAACCAACCTACCAGGTATGGCAAACATTTCAGCAAGACGTTAAGCCTGAAAGCATTGTGAGTCTTGCACCAAAAATGGCAGGCGCTAACCCCAATTTAGGGTCCCGCTTTACCTCACTTGCTTTAACATATGAGATTCACAACACAAGTTTGACCACTTGAGCACTCCAACAGAATAAAAGGTTCAATACAAAAATGTCCCTGAAATCAACATCCTTAGTTCATTTTTCAGGGCATTTTCCATGGTATTTTCAAATATGCCCACTTTATAGGATCGAATATACATATACACACACACATATATATATATATATATATATATATATATGGAAACAAATATACATACACAAATATATATGCATATACATATACATATATATATATATATATATATATATATATATATATATATATATATATATATGTGTGTGTGTGTGTGTGTTGTGTGTGGTGTGTGTGTGTGTGTGTGTGTGTGTGTGTGTGTGTGTGTGTGTGTGTGTGTTGTGTGTGTGTGTGTGTGTGTGTGTGTGTGTGTGTGTGTGTGGTGTGTGTGTGTGTGTGTGTGTGTGTGGTGTGTGTGTGTGTGTGTGTGTGTGTGTGTGTGTGTGTGTGTTCAATATGTGGGTGACTTGGTGAGAAATTGCTTGCTGATATCTTATGCGAGGCTTCGAGTGATCCTGGGGCCATCGTGTGTTACTATTAAAGCCTAAAAGATGCTGATACACGTGACTGGAAAAGAGCGCCAAGGCAGCCCGGACGGTATAAGGCATTACCAGAAGCGATAGATAAATATACTGCAATTCATACGTCTGTATGGTCACGTTTTGGATTGTGTCTTCCACATCTTGGGCAGGTGCCATGAGGCATTGACCCTGGGTGCCGGCGGTCCGCTGATGCAGCGGTCCGGTGACCGTTTCGAGTATATATATATATATATATATATATATATATATATATATATATATATATATATGTTTATATATTGGAAGGCAAGGTGTTTTGAAACATCTCTGGATGCATGACAAAGATGTCAGTGAGATGCATCAGCCAGCATGAATCTCGCCTTAAAAGCAGCATTTCCTTGCGTTATTTGTGGCACTACCCGTCATAAAAATGTGCTTTAAAAGTGGCAATCACACTGAACTTCAAGTAGTGCCCTTCATTTGTTGATTTGATCCCCAAAAGTTGCATAAACCAATTAAACAATGGAAAATTGCTCAGGTGCCGTCCCAACAAAATGCTGTGAAATCAGACCATCTTCCAGTATCTTTTTTCCAAACAAAATATATGAATTTCGCAATGATGCTGTCCGCGCACTGAAGCCCGATGTCGGAATCGAACAGCTTCGCCTAATAAAAGAACAAATCTTGAGAATCTAGGTATTCAGCCCCCTGGCCCATTCATAGCCATGCACACTACACATATCATTGGGCAGACAACTATGCAAAATTGAGGAAGCCCTGTCTACATGCCTCGCCCAAATATCTACGCAGGGTATCAGAGCATCAGTTTCTGCTCGCAACTCACACTACTCATCGACCAAATGTTACAGTGAAATTTACCTACATTTACCAGCTCCTCACAATTCCACTCGCAAAACACACAACGGAACACGAACACAGCTCGTTGACAATAATCGATACCGTAACGATGCATTTTAAGGCAAACCGCGCTACTCTGACAAAACACAAGAATCACACAAACATAATAAAGGCGTCACCCGTTGCTAAGTTACCATTTCTGCACAATACCATTTTTCTCAATAAAAAAACATTCAGAATTATGTCTTTTATTCGAGTCCCCCATATTAATCCTCATATAAACAAAGCTAATGCACAAAATCAGCTTGAAGATTATATGATGTCATGAAAGGGTCATGTGACAGGTTTATGTATTCAGTGGGCGATCAGTTTTTTTTACGCTGAGGAGATAGCGCAGTAAGAACGAGGGGATATTGAATGCTGAACATGAATGGCGGTTAAAAAATTTGGAGACAGCGAAGTGTGCCCACAAATGGTCCACAAAATGTCTCCCACAGTCAGTGATGAAAAAGGCCTAGACCACAAAAACGCATTTTCTTGTTCCAGCGTTGTAATGCGCGCAATTTCATCACAATCGACAATCCGTGAAACAATTTGTTAAATAGAAATTTGAACATTGAGAGCGTTCAAATCTCCTTCAATCAAGTGCAGACATTGAGATGAGTCTCCCGCGCTCGTGGACGGGGGGACGATTTTACCTCTGCAACCACCTCCTCAGGCTCGAAACGGTCACCGGACCGCTGCATCAGCGGACCGCCGGCACCCAGGGTCAATGCCTCATGGCACCTGCCCAAGATGTGGAAGACACAATCCAAAACGTGACCATACAGACGTATGAATTGCAGTATATTTATCTATCGCTTCTGGTAATGCCTTATACCGTCCGGGTTGCCTTGGCGTTCTCTTCCAGTCACGTGTATAAGCATGTATTAGGCTTTAACAGTAACACACAATGGTGTCCGCCCCGGGATAACTCGAAGCCGCGCATAAGATATCAGCAAGCGATTTCTCGCCAAGTCACCCACATATCGAATTCCTCTCGAGTATAAATCTGCAAAGCACACACGTCCGGCGCCTATATTTATGTGTCAGCTGTACCGTAAACATCTCTAACGTGCACCTTTGGGGGTGTTCAAGCTCCCCCTTGCTCTCCTACGCTCGTTCTCCTGGAGAACACAGTTCCAAAATTATGGGATTTCTGGGTTCAGAAACAAATGGCTGTTATTGTCGGCGGATAAAAAGGGCTTTGAGACATCCCTATTTCCTCTTATTTCTGTTTCTGAAACAAATAAAAACTGCCATGGAACGAAGCAAGCATACTGGCATACGGAGCCACAATGCAGCACATCTAGATCTGATAGCGAACTTACTAGCACATATCACTTCACATACCAAATACTAAATTATTATCTAGAATCAGACGAATTGTGTGAACAGTGCATACATCTAACCACTTTAACGATGTGCTTGATCTTCCTGACTCAGGAAGACCTGAGACTGACCTTAATTGACTCGATTTTGGCTCGATTGGTTAGATTTAGGTCATGCACGTTGCATATCGTCGACAGAAAAGTTCGGTAAGAATGTTATATAACTGTCTTTCCACAGTTGATCCCATTGTCGCAGTTGATAAAACAGGCTTCCCGCGACGCACGCCGGATCCCGAGCTACGTCACCTGCACCTTTTGCCTGCCACGTTTGCCTGCCTCCGCAGCAAACGGGTTTATTATAACCACGCGACTGGCCACCTAGCGAGACAGCGCCGTTTGTCTTTTTACTACATCATCTGTCGACGCTGTTATGCTACCATCTGTGACGCACGGAGGCGTAACGGTTGTGCACACCACTATCGCCATCAAGCCCAGCTGAAAATAAATTTTCCAACATGAACCAGGCTAGTTTTCTCGGCCATAATTTTCTCCAGGCAGACTGTGTGATCTTGACTAACCTGCGTAGCCATGTCAACCATAATGCTGCGATGTACTTTGTGAGATTTACTGCGTGCATGCCACCCTAGCCCGGTAACGTAACCCTTGTTAACCTTCCGTGGTCTCCTTCAAAGAAAGCCGGAAAAGGTCCCTGTCAAAGGACCGCGCGATCCCTGAAGGGACAGTGACCATCGGTGTCAGATAGGAAAGCTAGGCAGCCATAAGGGATTAAAAAAAGCTATTTTTCCTTTCAGACCGATAATTTTTCCTTCCACGCGATCATTGTTTCTCATACGGCGAAGTCTCAGGACTATGTTAACCTGTGAACAAGCGACCACTGGTGGAAAAATAGCCCCCAGATAATTTAAGTTCATGTTAGATGCTGAAGTCAACACCCGAGCGTATTGTTCAAGAATTCAGTCATTCAAAAATTCAGTCAAAAGTAAAAAGTCAGTCAGTCAAATTCCAAAAATTAAGTTCGCCTATTATAGCCCGAGGCGGGGACGGCCGGCCGAGGTCGGTCTGACCGATGCAGCAAGCCCATAAAACACCTTAATAACGAAGAATAGAAATAAACAACCCATCCAGCTGCACAAACGCCAGAGGCATGTCAGTCGTTAAAATATAACATTGAACACTTACGAATACGGCAGTCTGTCCGGCGCAACGTTTTGCGCCGCCACAGGCTGTGGCACGTTGCGCACGGGGACCAAATGACGCGTGGGACACGTTCACCGGAGCGTTTTTACCGGTGGCATTTCGGTTCACCTGATTGAAAATGCGTGGTGGTACTACCCCGTGTACATGAGTCAATCAAACGGACGATTTTGCGACGATTAGAAAGAAAGGCGCAGTTTCTGCTTATGTCAACGGGTTTCAGCGACGCCGCGCCATCCACACATCGTATCGTAAATTTACGATGGTGGGAGGGGAAGTTTACGATTCGCGTAGATCTCCCACAAATAACGATGCGTACCGCTGGTGGTTTTATGCATGTTTTGAGAAAAATTGCTAAGATCTGACAAAAATAAGTCACAAAATAAAACAAATTGAGATAAAAGCTTACTAAAGTTAGATAAACTCATTAATTTAGTTTTTTTACCTGAACTATTCTTGGACGAAAGTGCGTTTCGTAAATTGTGCATGTCCCCATCGCGCCTTGCGGCCGCTTTGTCCCCGCGTTTCGACTTGGCACGACGGGATAGCGGGGGCGATTTCGGGCTGCGATCGACGGCGTTTCGTGCCTTGTTTTGTCTGTGAATTAGTTTTTTGTTTTAATCCGCTTGTGTGAAGGTGTTATATCGAAGTTTCAAAACATGCGCCGTTGGACGCTGCCAGAAGAGCGGGTAATGCTGGCCATTGTTCAGGAGAAGGGGCTTCCATCGCCTATCGATGGGAGAAAAGTGCGCAACGTGCAGGGTAGTATGGTCATGTGACATACGCATGCACTCGCGCACACGATATACAACAACATCTGTGCAAGCTATTAAGCTATTGCATATTTCAGCAATAGCTTAATAGCTTGTTCGGATCTTGATAGGTACAAAACTTAAGCAGGTTAATGATCTCAGGTTTTTCCATCAACTGTGGTCGTCTAGATTCAGCGATACCATTTGGAAGGGATGTACTAACATCTTGTAGCGATATCATGATGTGGCATGTACATTAGTATGTGCTGCTTGCAACATGAGGTTGCATCTTGCAGGGTAGTTTTGGTATCTTGATGCAATTTAAACATAGTGTGCATTGCTCTTATTGTAGTAGGTTCCTTATAGTCACATTGTGAAAATGATCAAAGACCACCTTTGCTGATCTGTATTCAGGATTGCAGCTAAGCTGTATTAGTCCAAATTCATTTGTGTCATGTGAGTTGGCTCCAGGATTGGGAAACAACTGTCTGATCAGTTTAGAAATGCATCCTGGAGTCTTTTAGCAATATAATTTATTGACAATAGTCATGAGTTGTATATACAAAGCATGCCTGCACCAGAGGCAAGCCAGTCTATTGAAAAATTCACTAGCACTATCTGGCATGTTTGTAAGCTTGTGGAAACTAGCTCACATGTATTGAATGATAAGTAATATACTTTGTCTTGTATCTTGCACCCCTTGTCCTGTATCTTGCACCTTTTGGCCCAATCACTGGTGGTGCCTGTGGGAGTCTGTTCGACTTCTTGATCACAGTGCTGCTAAAGCTGTGATATATTCAAACTTTCAATGTTTGTGTTTTAACTAATTTTAGAGAATGGCTGCCTGGTGGTCTTTCCACCAGCTGCTCCTTACAGGATTTGATGTACTGTGATCATACCATGCCTGATTTTCTTGTAGTGCATGGATGGGTCGTTTGGCTTCCTGAGCTTTTCTTTGTAACTTGTTGACCGCTTTTTGGGAAAAGTAGTTTAGTTTCAAGTAGTTTTTCACTCTACTCATCAGCTCCTGGTCTTCTATCAGCAAAGGTCCCCAAATTGTATCAGCATGCTCCGCTATTGGTCTGAAGACAGTTTTTGTATAGAGGTTGTAATTTTATTGGCCCAGTTTTTTTAAATGATTAGTGACTCACCACCTTGTTACCTGTGTTGATAACCACTGTTGATTGTTGCCAAAATGGAATGCCATGAAATTGAAGAAAACAAAACCAATTGTAACTAGCAACTATCACTGCAACAAGTGAAATTAAGCACATTATTGGCAGGTGTGCCTTAGGATTGCAGAGGTATCTTGCCATATGCATAGCTTTCATGATGTAACATTGGGCCCACATGGCTAGTTTTGAATGCTGAGCTAAAGGAAGCTTACATGTGTGACACACATGGCCCATGCCATCTACATGTGCCAGGCTACAGGCTGTGACATCGCTCTGTAGGTCAAATGAAAGTCATGGTTAGGAGGATGCCCATACAAACAAAAATCTTATTTTGTTGAGTGAGGTGTTTATTCACATTGGCATATCTGAGTCCCTGGCGGAGAAGGGCTATGACCGTCTGCCTGATATGTGCAGAAACAAGCTGAAGGCCATCAGAAATAAGTGCAATAACCTTGAGAAGGGGCAGGGTTGGTCCGGACCTGGATTACAAGACATTGCCAACCAAGACCTCCTCTGGCAGCTCCTGGGAGGACGGCCAGCGGCCAACGTGGCTGCAGCGACAGTGGAATTGACCTTCGGGCAAGCGGAGGACGCATCGGACGGTTAGAGAATCAGAGCACGCGCGCCCTTATGCTCGTGTGATGTTCTTACCCCGCAAGCTAACGTGTCACGCTGTTCGGGGCCACCCTTGAAGGTCTCAACATCAAGTGCCACCCGGGAGAGCGGAGCCTACCTCTAGGAGGTTATGATATTCATCAACCCAGTGAGCCGTTTTCCGCGAACCGTGCTGGGCGCGCCTGATGGGTGAACCCCTCGGCGCATGCGCACTGCCTGACCGCAACATTTTGGGCGTATGGTGGCCACCGTGGCTGAGTTTCCATAAATTAGCCGTTTGCTGCGGTTTGTTTCGGACGGATACTTTTGTGGTGGTGGGCAGAAGAAGATCAGGTGTTTTTTATCCGGTTTGTAGCATTTTCAATCAACTGCTCATTTTATGCCTTTTGTATACCTTTTGTGTTGCACCGTGATTTCAGGGGATCCAGTCGTCACCTCCCCTGGCCAAGGGATCGCGCCCCTCCTAACACCAACGACACGTCGACCATCGCCGAAGACATGCCGTTTCTGGGGGAGGGTGACGCTGATAGCATCATCACGGAAGTGATTGATCGACCCACGTCACTGGAGTCGCTCCCAATTGCTTTCGTTCCATCGCGGCGTCGGGGTTCATCCACTGCACCCATTTCCCGTTCTTCCATATCTCTGCCCCCATCCCACCCCGGCATTTCCACATCCCGGGCTCCATCTCACCGCGGCCCGTCCACACCACATCCCGGCTCGTCCACGGCCCACCCAAATCAACCAACACCTCAGCCCACGCCCCATCCTGGCCCATCAGCGCCTCATCCCGGTCCATTCACGCCTCGCCCCGGCCCATCCACGTTTCGTCCCGGCCCATCCGAGCCTCATCCCGGTCCATACGCATCTCATCCCATTTCATCAACTGATCCGGCTCCTTCATTATCCTCATCCTCTGACTCTGGTCGCTCCTCTGAGCCAACGGGCACCCAGCCCCGCCAGTGCCACCGGACAAGACTTCAAACGCCTGTGAGCCCCTCCAGTCTGCTGGGCTGCGACGATGGTTTGAGTGGCATCCCCCGGGCCACTCAACAGCGTCAAGCCCGTCGCCGAGCCGCGTACTCCCATCGTGATAGGCTGGTGGCCTCCTTGGAAGCATTGGAACGGGGCGAACGGCAAGCCGCGAGGAGGGAGGAGGCACGCGACGCCAGGGATGTTACTTTTAAGGAGGCCCTGCTTGAGGAGATGCGGGCAGACCAGGCATTGTTGGGGGAGGCCGTGTGCGCCATCCAGGCTGTCGCCGCCACTTTCCGCCGGCCAGAGCACGAGCGCCGCCGTGGCCGGTCGCGCTCCCGCTCGCCACGCTGAGGCGTCATTTTGGTATAACCGCCATGTATTGGGCGAAGAGTAGGACGATTACAGCAGTCCATGCTTCCGAAAGTGCCATTCAGGAATACAATTTCAATCACATGTTTACAGGCTGCTTAACATGAAACGTCGAGCTAACAGTGTTGCGTTGGGGGCTGCCATCGCAGCCACGCCACAACGGCCAACAATCAACGGAGTCCTTCGACGCCGCGGGAAGCGTTGTCAGCTTAAGCTGCTCTGGCACAAAAAAAGGCAGGTTAAGACAGCCTGGCGCAAATCGCTCCTAAAGCGGCATATTATACTTATCGACTGACAAGACGCAAGCTTGCCTGTCTCAATGGGTAGTTCCTCGCCAGGTATGACCGGATAGCATCCCTCGCATCCTTTCCCTGGTCTCGTAGCACGCCGTATGCGATCGCCCGCTGGGCTGGGGATACTGGCGGGCTATTTCAATCGTGGGAAGCCAAACTTCGTGGAAAGCCTCCCGCTGCGACTCGCAAAAATTGTGCAGGATGCAACACACTGCCACAATCAGCGGCACGTGCAAAATTTCTATATTTATTCGTTTCTACAGCTTGCGCCACCTCCCCTTCAGTCGTCCGAAAGCGCACTCGATTACCTTCATGGTACACATTAAAGGGACCCCTCCTCAGCTTCTAAACGCTGCTGATTTGCCGTTAACCCTCGGAACCTGGCAGATGCGAGGGCCTGAGTATAAGGCTTCATCAGCCATGGCTGCAGCGCTGCCGGATCGCCGAGAGGACTAAGCTGCACCAGCACGCCTTCAAACTCAATTTTGCTCCACTACCATTCCTGCAAGCCATCTGCACGATCACGATCCACTGCCGACGCATACACCGCATATCTTACACAGATCACCTCTTACACCCCGATCTGCATATTGTTCCTGTTTCTTCTGATTTCTCTTTACTCCGCTCCCACATCACGTTATAAGCGATCCAGAGGCGACCGACCTACCCAGAAACAAGTCAGCTGGAACAACATGTGTTGCGTTGTGTGTTGTAGCACGGTAGCGAAATAGGAAACCCACTATTTTGATGTGGACGCTACCAGCGGCCTGTTTCCACAAGCTCATTTTGAACATTTGGACGCCGTGCTCTGCCAGGCAGTTTGATCTAGGTCAGAACGCCAGCGACGTCAGATGCACCACTCCGTTCGATTGACACAATGTTCGCATTGTTTGTGACTGAAACACTGCGCATTGTCTGACACAAGCGTCTTGGCCAACGCAGGAACGATACGAAGCGCGCAAACGTTCGACTGAGACCTCTGATGCATATGTCCAGGAAGGAAAAATATAGAGCCGCTTGGAATGTGCGTCAGTTATGATAAGGAACATCAAGCCACCGACAGGACCAGAATAATTAACATGAACACCCTCCCAGGATTTCGGATGAGTGCGTTCCCAGGCGTTCCCAGTGCTGGCCAAATCCAGGGGTGGAAAACCTCGGGTACGCTACTATGATGTGCCGGACACTTCCCGCATCTCTGCGAAATGGTCGTAGGGTTATCATCAGGGCACCAAGTGTACATACGAGCAAACGACTTTGTGCGAGTTCCGCCACAATGTCCGTCATGAAACATCAAAAGTTTCTTCCTTCCCTGAGGAAGGACAACCACGCGAGATCCCCACAGAAGGCATCCACCCTGGACACTCAGTCTAAGCAATTGATTTGCATACAGCGGAAAAGATGGTGTCTTTGCGTCGTAGGCTATCAGCCTGCCATTTCTGACATATACATACACATACGGCGGTACAACCATACGGAAGTCGCACCACAGCAGACAGTAAAGGATCACCAGAGGTCCACTGGCGAGCTTGGTCTGCTGACACTGGGGAAGCATTTACGAACTCCATCAGATGAATCGCGTCAGCAGGCACATGGCTCGAAAGACCGGCCCCAACTGGCAGGGGAAGCCAGCTGAGAGCATCGTAGTGCACCTTCCTAACCCCCGGGACGAACTCCAAGTGATTATCATATGCGGCCAACATCAGGGCCCACTGAATCACACGGGGCGAGACCATCAACGGAAGCGGATTCGTCTCGCCAATCAGCCCAACAGCGGCTTATGATCTGTCCGCACCGAAAACGGCCGGCCGGCCAGATAGAAATGGACCTTTTTAATTCCCTCGATCACTGCTAAGCCTTTTCTGAAGGTCCGAGAATAGCGTTTATCGGCTTCAATCAACGGCTACTAGTAAAAAGCTGTCGGCCGTTCTCCTGTCTTGTCTGCTGGCTGAGAACGCAACGCAGCCCGATTGCACTTGCATAACGAGCCGAAGTACGCGCGGCCAGTGACGCGAAAAGAATGGCGGAGCCCGTGTAACGGAAGGTGATTTTTGCTCGAAATGCTTAAGACTAATCGGTGTGAACTGCATCCGTTTGTTTACTTTTTTGAGAAAAATGCTCAGCAATGTTCAAGAAAGAACAAAATGTCTGTGGTGCAGAAACGCTTTCTAAGAAATACTCTGTGCTGAAGAAAACCATTAATTTAAAATCACGAGCCTAAAGCCGTAACCAAACTTAGTATGCATAATTGTTTTGCGAGTTTGAAACAACTTTTTCCTGTTTGTAAAGCTGTATGGAATCACAAACCATGATCGGGACTCTGCTGAATGATTGAGACGGCGTGTGCATATTACGGATGGACGGCTTTTTCAGGCTATTGTCCCCGTCCTGTGTGCTAGTGTGCAGGTAGTCACTACACAGCGTTCCGGACAGTAAACTCTCAGACTCCCGACTGATGTCAATGAGCCCTGTGAACGGCAAGGTAGTTTTAGCTCTAATCCATCCATGCGCCGTGGCGTCGAGAAGTTGTGTGGTATCATGAAGCGGAAGGGTGGCAAGCAACATAAAATCCAAAGCTTCAAGATGGCATGAGGACAAGACCGCTGTAATAATTCAGAAGTCATAATTGGCGCTGATTTCGCAGTCGAAATCCGGTCTGATAAATAAACAAGGAATACACAATCCTCCGATTGAAGTTAAATCGACTGATTGAATTTTCGAGAGGGTCCCACCGATCAAAATTCCTAGATTTACCCATACAGTCATGCCAGCAAACGATGCCCCAAAGAATAGTCTTTGAGTTATTGTCAATACTTTCCTGCGCTTCTGTAATCTTCAACCCAAGCAATGGGGGCAACCGAGGAGAAGAGGGAAGGTTGGGGGGGGGGGGGGGGCAGGGCCCCTCACCAAAATAATACCAATGGACACCCGTGCCTTTATTCCTTTTGAGCACAGCAGACTTGTCTCCTCAGCTACTACCATCAAAGCCAGTTTTGGGGGGTGCGGGGATTACGCCAAATTGGCCCAAATATGTTGTCATTGGTTACAATAACTTTTCAGAGTACGCACACACAAGAACATTTTAAAAGAAAAGCGATCGGTTATCACAAAGCAGTCCGGTCCAAGCGGCCTTACACGCGCTGACAACCGTCGGAAAACAGCCGCCAGATTGTACTGGTACCTTTCTAGCGGTAAAATTTTAACTTTCAAAAACGACCCTCAGTAAAATAATTTCAAAGTCTGTACGAATGCGCCTCATTACGTCATTGTTTGATGGCGTCATGGAATCGTTATGTGACAACAGCAAGACCTGGCAGTATCTGGCAGCCAGACCTAAAAAATACCTCGAAACGCACGAAAGCTGACGCCAACCCGTCATTCTCACCGTGGACGCCGTGTTGGGTGGCGGATTATTGAATGCTTGTTTGTGGATTTTTTAGTCTTGGTACTCGTCGTAAAGGAGCTTTGGTGGGCTGTTTGGCATACGCAACGTAGCCATCGCCAGCTTTTAGGGCAGATTATTGACATCAAAGCACGATATACTGTGAAGGCTGTCATATAGCGTCATGAATCCCTCATCGAAATCTGCCAAGGACTGTTGAGGATGTCAGTACTGTAAAGTCGACTTATCTTCGCCTGCAGTGCTGTAGTACTGACATTGATGTCATGTGATGTGCACAGTAATTACTTTTTATTATTTGTAGGTAGAAATGCAGCTGCGTGCAAAAGTCAATAAATCCGTCGGGTTGCTACGCATTTGATGCCAAACAGTGTTATTGCTATGGTACAGATGGCAATGTTGAGCTTCCATGAATGTTTCTCTTGCTTAGGACTATTTATGCAATTATTAGTTAAACCCGATATAACCATTGTGGTTGCAACAGCATTGTCGCCGGTTGACAGTCCTTTGGCGTTGTTAACGCTATATTTTTCAGCACTATTCTGTGAAAGACAATTTTGCAAGCTGTTTTATGCGAGCTTATATCAAGCATGTGCATTAGTAAGCTGCATTGACCTGTCCCTACCGCCCAAATGAATTGCTGACTAATGGCATGCAGTGGATTAATTACATGCTGTAAAACCTCAATGGGCTCAAAATGTTGACAAGACCATAATGAAGTAGCAAATTGTCTTTTAACACCCCTGTAGCGTGGGTGCTAGTGTTCCTTTCAGTTTGCCGACATCACTACTTTGTCATGTTCAAACGCCAACCTAAAGATAAGGCAAGTATCAATATATCACATTTTACTGGGAGTTAATATATTTAAAGAATACCAAAACGAGTGCCGCATAACCCGAAAGACGGCCCCTGGCACGGGCGTGCTTCCAGATAACAAAGTTCCTCTTTGCCATGTGTTTCTGTTAACAGCAAATGGTATCAAGTTTTCAAGAAAAACGTCGTTCGTCCTAATTTACGCCTAATTACGCGGCTCACTGGATCGTGGGGTAGAGCCACTTTAACCTTTAACTTCAGCTTATTGGCAAACAAGGAATTCATCAGCCCATAGTATGGGACCACGGGCGTCCGGAACAGCCATGACATATGTGATAACTGTGGCTTCGGCCTTCCGGCTCGTAGTTGGTCCGTCAAAGCACGACATTCGCCGCGCGCGTGGCGGGTTGCCTGCTGATCATGTAGCATCATCTTGGCACCGTTCAAACCAGTTAGACGGCATCCGACATGTGGACATGACATAGATTTACC